AAACTTACCTGATCCCGGTATTTCTGTATGTCAGCTTTGTCTGTGTTTTGCCAGTGTCTCTCTATGCGAGGATCTACAGTTGTTTCTTCCAGCTGTTATGGGGGCACAAACTGAACCTCATTAAGAGGTCTGTAACCTACCTTCCCAGGCGGATGGGTGGCCTAGGTATGGTCAACCCAGTGGTTTTCTTTTCTCTGATGTTTTTGAAACATAATTTTGGTAGCATGCTGGCGGAGGAACCGCCTGGGTGGGTTGGTATTTTTCAGTCCTGGTTTAGGCCTTTTCTACGGAGCTGGGAGAATGGTGGGCCAGTGAAAAGCCTGAGGGTCCAACATGGTAAGCTCCCGGCTTATGTTGCCCCATGCCTGAAAATGCTTCGGCAATGGCGAGTGACGGCGGAGGAAATTAAATCTCTTCCTAGGAAGGCCCTGGAGAGGAGGGTTGTTGAATCTGCCTTTAGCGAGCCATTGGCCTTGAGGGATTGCCCAGGCCCGGTTATGAGGGAGGGTCTGCGTTTGATGAATCTGGAGAGAATCCCTTTAAAGTTTCGGGATTTGGCCTGGCTCTCGTTCCATGGCAGACTCTATGTGAAGGGCAACCTGAAGCATCGCTCTGCGGAGAACCGTGGTTGTCCAAGAGTGGAGTGTGATGGAGTGGAGGAGACGATGGACCATTTCTTGCTTCAGTGCCCCTTCAATATAGAAGTCTACAAGCGGGTGGGGTGCGGCTCTGGGGATCCCTTTCCTTTCCCGCTTGAGTTACGCGGAGTGGTCTTACGGAGCCTTTCAGACTCACCGGGACTTTGATTTTGAGACACTTTTTCTAGTTAGCTTAGTAGTCTGTTACCACACGTGGAATGCACGGTGTCAGGTTTCCATTCGCAAAAAAGTCCTTCCTGTCGAGGTGGTGGTGAACAACATTCTGGGTGAGGTTGGGAAGATTCGGGGTCTTGAGAAGGGACAGGTGGCGGCCGGGAGCCTGGACACAAAGGTGTGGAGGAATGTCAGGTCTCCGTAGCTGCTATCTGTCAGTCTCTGGGGGCGTGGCTTCTCTTTCTGTCCTTTCACGTCCCCTAGATTTTGTAACATCAGAATTTTGAAGAAAGGCTGCATGCATGGGATGAATGCATGGGATGAATGCATGGGATGAATGCATGGGATGAATGTTTTCATCGTTTCTTAGCCTGAGGGGGTGTTTAGGTGACGGTTAGGATTTGTTATTGTTTTGCTGAATTAAGCTGGTTTTGTTTAATATATATATATTTTATTCTGTATATATGTAAATATGATTTTTATGATGTTTTTTGTTTGCAAGATTTTTAATAAACAAAAAATTTACACTCTAATGTCTTCATAGCCTTCACACCATCATCATTATAATTACACATTTATATAGCCCTTATATATTCTGTTTCACTGTACAGAGAACACTGAGGCAGTCACATCAGTCCCTGTACCAGAAGAGCTTACACTCTAATGTCCCCACCACAGTCACACACTATTATTATTATATATTTATATAGCTCTGACATATACCGCAGTGCTGTACAGAGATCACTGAGCCAGTCACACCAGTCTCTGTACCAGAGGAGCTTACACTCAGAGGTGTGGAGGAATGTCAGGTCCCCGTAGCTGCTGTTTCAGTCTCTGGGGGCGTGGCCTCTCTTTCTGTCCTTTCATGTCCCCTAGATTTTTGTAAGATCAGATTTTTGGAAAAAGGCTGCATGTATGGGATAAAAAGTTTAATAATTTCTTCGCCTGGGGGGGGGGGGGGGGGGGGGTTAGGTGAAGGTTGGGTTGTGTTTTGCATAATTTAATACGTTTTCGGATAATGAAATGTTTCTCTTATATATAGTTCTATTTATGTTATTTTCAGAAGAAAAGACGTTTTCTTTTCTGGTATTTGCTGATGTAAGCTTGTTTGGTTTTGGTATATATATATATATATATATATATATATATATATATATATATATATATATATATATAGATAGATAGATAGATATTCATTTTTATTTTTTGTATATATGTAAATATGCTTTTATTAATAAGCTGTTTGTTTTCAAGATTTTAAATAAACAAAAAATGTACACTTTACTGTTGTTCCACAGTCACAGACTATTATTATTCATTCATATAGCTCTAACATAATATTCCATAGTGCTGTACAGAGAACACTGAGCCAGTCACAGCAGTCCCTGTACCAGAGGGTAGAGTAAAGTTTTGGGATTTGGCCTGGCTCTCTTTCCCATGGCAGACTCTATGTGAAAGTCAACCTGAAGCATCGCTCTGAGGAGAACCGTGGTTGTCCAAGAGTGGAGTGCGGTGCGGTGGAGGAGACAATGGACCATTTCTTGCTTCAGTGCCCCTTCAATATAGAAGTCTACAAGCGGGTGGGTGCGGCTCTGGGGCTCCCTTTCCTTTCCCGCTTGAGTTACGCAGAGCGGTCTTACGGAGCCTTTCAGACTCTCCGGGACTTTGATTTTGAGACACTTTTTCTAGTTACCTTAGTAGTCCGTTGTGGAATGCACGATGTCAGGTTTCCATTCACAAAAAAAGTCCTTCCTGTCGAGGTGGTGGTGCACAACATTCTGGGTGAGGTTGGGAAGATTTGGGGTCTTGAGAAGAACAGGCGGCGGCTGGCAGCCTGCAAAAGGCTTGGAGGAATGTCTGGTCCCCGTAGCTGCTGTCTGTCAGTCTCTGGGGGCGTGGCTTCTCTTTCTGTCCTTTCACATCCCCTAGATTTTTGAAAATAGGCTGCATGCATGGGATCAATGTTGAATCATTTCTTAGCCTGAGGGGGGGTTTAGCTGACGGTCGGGTTTGTTAAGATGCAATATAAAGATAATAATATTAAAATATGATTGGTTCTGTATTTTTCTGGCAAAAAAGCTGTTTGTTTTCTTTGCTGAAGTAAGCTTTTTTTTTTATTCATATATACAGTCAGGTCCATAAATATTGGGACATCGACACAATTCTAACATTTTTGACTCTATACACCACCACAATGAATTTGAAATGAAACGAACAAGATGTGCTTTAACTGCAGACTGTCAGCTTTAATGTGAGGGTATTTACATCCAAATCAGGTGAACGGTGTAGGAATAACAACAGTTTGCATATGTTCCTCCAACTTGTTGAGGGACCAAAAGTAATGGGACAGAATAATAATCATAAATCAAACTTTCACTTTTTAATACTTGGTTGCAAATCCTTTGCAGTCAATTACAGCCTGAAGTCTGGAACGCATAGACATCACCAGACGCTGGGTTTCATCCCTGGTGATGCTCTGCCAGGCCTCTACTGCAACTGTCTTCAGTTCCTGCTTCTTCTTGGGGCATTTTCCCTTCAGTTTTGTCTTCAGCAAGTGAAATGCATGCTCAATCGGATTCAGGTCAGGTGATTGACTTGGCCATTGCATAACATTCCACTTCTTTCCTTTAAAAAACTCTTTGGTTGCTTTTGCAGTATGCTTTGGGTCATTGTCCATCTGCACTGTGAAGCGGTGTCCAATGAGTTGTGAAGCATTTGGCTGAATATGAGCAGATAATATTCCCGAAACACTTCAGAATTCATCCTGCTGCTTTTGTCAGCAGTCACATCATCAATAAATACAAGAGAACCAGTTCCATTGGCAGCCATACATGCCCACGCCATGACACTACCACCACCATGCTTCACTGATGAGGTGGTATGCTTAGGATCATGAGCAGTTCCTTTCCTTCTCCATACTCTTCTCTTCCCATCACTCTGGTACAAGTTGATCTTGGTCTCATCTGTCCATAGGATGTTGTTCCAGAACTGTGAAGGCTTTTTTAGATGTCGTTTGGGAAACTCTAATCTGGCCTTCCTGTTTTTGAGGCTCACCAATGGTTTCCATCTTGTGGTGAACCCTCTGTATTCACTCTGGTGAAGTCTTCTCTTGATTGTTGACTTTCACACACATACACCTACCTCCCGGAGAGTGTTCTTCATCTGGCCAACTGTTGTGAAGGGTGTTTTCTTCACTAGGGAAAGAATTCTTTGGTCATCCACCCCAGTTGTTTTCCGTGGTCTTCCGGGTCTTTTGGTGTTGCTGAGCTCACAGGTGCGTTCCTTCTTTTTAAGAATGTTCCAAACAGTTGTTTTGGCCACGCTTAATGTTTTTGCTATCTCTCTGATGGGTTTGTTTTTGTTTTTTCAGTCTAATGATGGCTTGCTTCACTGATAGTGACAGCTCTTTGTTGCTGTCAACTCTCAAGATGAGATCCAGATTCCAAATGCAAATAGCACACTTGAAATTAACTTTGGACCTTTTATCTGCTCATTGTAATTGGGATAATGAGGGAATAACACACACCTGGCCATGTAACAGCTGAGAAGCCAATTGTCCCATTACTTTTGGTCCCTTAACAAGTGGGAGGCACATATGCAAACTGTTGTAATTCCTACACCGTTCACCTGATTTGGATGTATATACCCTCAAATTAAAGCTGACAGTCTGAAGTTAAAGCACATCTTGTTTGTTTCATTTCAAATCCATTGTGGTGTATAGAGCCAAAAATGTTAGAATTGTGTCGATGTCCCAATATTTATGGACCTGACTGTATATAGAGAGAGAGAGAGAGAGAGAGAGAGAGAGAGAGAGAGATTTTTTTCTGTATATATGTAAATATGTTTTTTATTATGTTGTTTGTAAGACTTTTAATAAACAAAAATTTACACTCTAATGTCCCACCACAGTCACACACTATTATTATTATTATACATTCATATAGCTCTGACATATTCCATAGTGCTGTACAGAGAACACTGAGCCAGTCACATCAATCCCTGTGCCAGAGGAGCTTACACTCTAATGTTCTTCCACAGTCACACACTATTATTATTATACATTTATATAGCTCTGACCTATTCCGTAACGTTGTACAGAGAACACTCAGCCAGTCCCATCAGACTTCTCTCATTGTCGGTCCCTCCTCTCCTTGTTCATTGAACTTGTATTTTATCTCTCCTCTGCAGACATCGGAAGTCCTCGGCCTCTTCTCTCTGGTCCTATACTCACATCTGCATCTCAGAGTCCGTGGATCTGGCCCAACTTCAGCTCTATGAGATTTTCCTCTATGCTCAGTCTACCTGTGTGGGGCGGTGGCTGTCCCGTCTCATACGCTGGATATCCCATACTGTATACTGAGGAGCAGTGATGTCTGCATTGAACTGTGGAATTTAGGAGAGGGACAGTAGGCAGCTGCAACAGCAATGGGTCCAGTGGGGGGGGCGGTTGGGGAGCAACGTGGTGTTTCTCTTCTGCTGCATTCTGTTCATCAGAGAAATGAGGTATTGAGGCTTAGAAGCTGCACAAACCCGACTGCATCTAGTCCTGTGTATATCACAGAACCTTTAGGACCCGGATCTGTATGTACTCCGTCAAATGGAGCAATAGAAACTGTCAGTGATGCTCGAATTCCTGGAAATATAATGAAGATTGGGGAGAGGTACGCGGATCTGATCTTCCAGTCTGTATACAGAGGTGGGAATTTAAATCCGATGTCGCACTGTTCAGACATATATACAAATGGGCGCATTGATATCCCCCAACACCAAAACCAAAGTAGCAGCTTTATTCCACGGTGCAAAATTCTACTGTCTGCATCCAGCAAATAGTCTGTCACATGTGCATCTGGCGATTAGTGCGTCACGATCTGTGTCTGGTGAATTTGATGTCATTATCTGCTCCTGGACAATTCTGGTTATAGAAGGCTCCCAAAGGGTGTAGTAGACACTCTTCAAAGTTGTGTTGCGCCACGACAGATGTCAGTGTGGGCCGCGGATTCCTGTACCTGTTGGAGACGGGGAAGTACATATTTTCTCATGGAGACTAGCAATGTGGCTGGAGTGGACAATCCCCAGTACAGCTCCCTGCCCACCCCGCAGGAGCAGGCACAGAGGCCAAGGAGTTGATCTGTGGGGTGGGTGGAGCCTGATAGGGATTCCAAGAGAGACCCCCATCAGGTCCTCTTCACTTGTGATTTCCAGCTGACAGCAGTGGGCCAATTATATAGCCACTAGACAGCCCAATAGCAGCAATGGAATCCATCCACTGTCTTCCACCGTCAGTACCAACGGAGGTGGATCTAATCTCTAAGCATCCCTATCAGGCATCTTTGGTTGCTAGGGTGTTGGCAGCATGCATCCTAGTAACCAATGGCGCTGTACATCCTATCAAACAATAAAGCTGTGGGGGCAACAGCAGTGTGTGAATTATATAGCCAATAGACAGCCCAAAACCAGCAATGGAATCCATCCACTGTCTTCCACCATCAAAACCAATGGAGGTGGATCTAATCTCTAAGCATTCCCATCAGGCATCTGTGGTTGCTAGCATGTTGCCAGCATGCCTCCTAGAAACTAATGATGCTATGCAACCAATCAACTTGTGGGAGTGACAGCAACATGCAAATTACATAGCCACTAGAGAGCCCAATAGCGGCAATGGAATCCACCCACTGTCATCCGCTGTCAATACCAATAGAGGCGACCCTGATCGGGAACTAATCTCTCAGCATCCCTATCAGGCATTTTTGGTTACTAAGATGTTGGCAGTATGTGTCCTTGTAACCAATCATGCTGTGCATCCTAGCAACCAATAAAGCTGTAGGGGTAATAGCAGTGTGTGAATTATATAGCCATTGGACAGCCCAATAGCAACAATGGAATCCATCCACTGTCTTCCACCGTCAGTACCAATTAAGGTGGATCTAATCACTAAGCATCCCCATCAGACATCTTAGTTTCTAGGAGGCATGCTGGCAACATCCTAGCAACCAACTGATGCTGTGCATCCTAGCAACCAATAAACTTGTGGGAGTGACAACAACATGCAAATTACATAGCCACTAGACAGCCCAATAGTGGCAATGGAATCCGCCCACTGTCATCCGCTGTCAATACCAATAGAGGTGGCTCTGATCAGGAACTAATCTCTCAGCATCCCTATCGGGATCTTTGGTTGCTAAGATGTTGGCAGTATGCGTCTTAGTAACCAATGACGCTGTGCATCCCAGAAACCAATAAAGCGGTGGGGGCAACAGCAGTGTGTGAATTATATAGCTATTGGACAGCCCAATAGCCGCAATGGAATCCATCCACTGTCTTCCACCGTCAATATCAACAGAGGTGGATCTGATGGGGAACTAATCTCTCAGCATCCCTATCTGACATCTTTGGTTGCTAGGATGCTGGCAGCATGCGTCCTAACACCTAATGATGCTATGCATCCTAGCAACCAATAACGTTGTGAGGGCAACAGCAGTGTGCGAATTATATAGCCACTGGACAGCCCTATAGAGGCAGTGGAATCTGCTCACTGTGAGACACAATGGAGGCGGACCTGTTGGGGAAGGAATCTCTCAACATTTCTCTCGGGCATCTTTGGTTGCAAGGATGCTGGCAGTATGTGTCCTAGCAACTAATGATACTATGCGTCCTAGCAACCAGTTACGTTGTGGAGGCGACAGCATCCTAGCAACTAGTGACAGATGGTAGTGGTTAGGGGGAGTTGGGTGGTGCATGTAAAAGGCTGGCCTTTTTTTTTTGCATCTTAAGTACCTTCAGTTTTGTTATCCACAAACTGGCTGCAACTCTGTTTGGCTATGTCTCAGTCATGGGAAAACATTGTGAAAGTGGCATAAATAAGAGAACTACTTACATCTGTTGCACGTGTCGGAACTGTTAAAGTGTTACTAAACCCACAACAGTACAATCAGTCTGTAGATGCAGTAAAGTATGCTTGTTATACTCACTGTGGAACCTAAGGGGTTAACCCTCTGCATTGTGTAAAAAGGCTGTTTGATCCTGTCTTCTCTGATCCTCCCCTTCTTCCAGTGCCCCCCTTAACTCCTGATGAGGTATATTGTGTGGAGTCACCCTGCACATGCTCAGTTTGGTGTAAATTGCTAGAGAGTTTTTTTTTTTCTTTGGGAGAGTGCATGTGATCAGCACAGGACCAATCAGCATTGTCCAGACAGAGGTCAGGGGTTCTGCATCCTCCTAAAACAAAATGAAAATCCTTCAATAAGCGTTAACGTGCTCTGCTGGACACTGATAGAAGTCACAAGACTGCTCTAACTGCTGATCAGAAAAGGCACTTAGCAGTTTATATTTACTAAACCAATTGCATTTCTATGTTCTGTGTACTGTGGGAGACCAGATATAGTGAATGCAGGGTCCGGGGAGAGCGGATATAGTGAATGCGGGGTCCTGGGAGACCGGATATGGTGAATGCGGGGTCCGGGGAGAGCGGATATGGTGAATGCGGGGTCCGGGGAGAGCGGATATGGTGAATGCGGGGTCCGGGGAGAGCGGATTTGGTGAATGCGGGGTCCGGGGAGAGCGGATATGGTGAATGCGGGGTCCGGGGAGAGCGGATATGGTGAATGCGGGGTCCGGGGAGAGCGGATATGGTGAATGCGGGGTCCGGGGAGAGCGGATATAGTGAATGCGGGGTCCGGGGAGAGCGGATATGGTGAATGCGGGGTCCGGGGAGAGCGGATATAGTGAATGCGGGGTTCTAGGTTTAGTAACACTTTAAAGAAGAAATGAATATTTACTATTATTAGTAAATGATTATGAACTCTTAAGATGATAATCTGATGCTATTTTATGTCGATTTCACCTGGCTGCATAGACTGTCAGGCCCGCATTTCCTGTCTAGGGGACCAGACAGTGCTGCTCTATGTGCAGTTGGGTGACCGGTCCCCCTACCTGCCCCCTGTAGTTCAAGCTTCGTTAACTATGATGTCAGCACATCAGTGGGTGGGCCTAATAACATTAAACTGTCTTCTGCCTGCCAGGTTCCACCCTGTCCTGCCCGACACTTACCTCCTGTCACTTATCTTTTCAGCTCAGCATCCAGTCACAATGGAACAGTATGGAGCTCGGAGGTCACCCCCATGATACTGCCCTGACAGGTCGGCTTATAGCCTACTAACTCATGCTGTATGTGGGCTGAAGTCATGGGAAATGTGGTTCTGCCCCGCTTTCTAAGTACACAAGGAGGTGACGTGGGGAGCTCTGCAGAATCTGCCTCTTGGCGGCCTGGGGTCAGTGACCAGGGGTGGACTGACAACTCATGGGGCCCCCAGGCAATAGGGGATCATGGGGCCCCTGTGTCCTTGCCCAAATTCAAAAAAGCCTATGAAAAAGGTACCAGAGGCATCTCATGGGGCCCCCTACTGCCCCCGTGCCCTCGGGCAGTGCCTGAGTTTCCAAATGGTCAGTCAGTTTCCAAATGGTCAGGACAGCATGTATACATTGCAGATTACTGTACGCAGGAAGAGGAAGTGCGGGGGGGTAGACATGCTTCCACATTGTGCCCCAGGTTCACACCTAAGCATTTTCCACAACGTTTTGCAGAAACGCACTACAGTCCATTTCACATGATTTCCTATGGGACACGTTCACATCTTCGCGGTTTCACCCGGTGCGGTTTTTGGAAAGTCGGGGACTTTTTTGAATGCAAAAAGTTGCATTCATTTTTGGTTCTATAGACCTCAATGGAAATGCTGCAGAAAAGCAAGTAGTGCGTTTTTGATGCGTTTTTGTGTTTTTAAATCTGAGTAACAGCAAGAAAAATAAAAAAACTTTAAAAAACGCATCTAAACGCACTGCAGAATTGTTTCAAACTCAACCTGCATAGGTGTGAACCTGGCCTTACTGCCAAAACGTAATTGAACAATCTGAAACCAGAAGCTGATTGGCTGCCATGCACAGCTGCAACAGATTCGGTGTGCTCCAGTTTTAGTAAATCTCCCCTTTGGCATTGGACTTGCATGGAGCACGGCAGAGTTTCTGGGTGGACTGAACTCATGTGATCTGTGGTCTATGTAGTTGTCTGCAGTGATTGTGGAGGTGCAATTATTGCAATGTTTGGAGCAGGGGCGGACTGACAACTCATGGGGCCCCCGGGGAATAGAGGATCATGGGGCCCCTGTGTCCTTGCCCAAATTCAAAAAAGCCTATGAAAAAGGTACCAGGGGCATCTCATGGGGCCCCCTACTGACCCCAGGCCCTCGGGCAGTGCCCGAGTTTCCAAATGGTCAGTCCACCCCTGGTTGGGAGGACTGAGACCTTTTTCGATCCTGTTCCTGATGCACTGGCCAGACGTGACCCTTACCCCGAGTGCACAGGTTACCT